GGAAACAGTGCAGGACACTTCACAGCGACTTCCTCCATGGGGTTGAACTTGAGGCCTGGAGTGTGACTTGGATGACCTTTGCCTTGAGCCAAGGCTCTCCATCCCACCTTGGGAAGAAAAGCTGATACTTCTGGATTAAGTTGTAATAAATAGCAGCTTAGTTGGGGGGAGGGGAGGAGTTGAGGGAGGGGTTTTTATGAGAAGATTGTCACAGACGCGAGATCATAGAGGGATTTACATCAGAGTAAAAGCTCTTGCCAATTAATTATTTAGTCATTCGGTAAACATTTATTTTGTGCTCAATACTCGACCAAACCCTGTGCTCAGCAAAAAAGTTACAGAGATGAGTAAGATCCAGTCTTTGTCTTGGAGGAGCCCACCATCTACTGTACCATTTCAACGGCTGAAGTTTACTTAATGTATAACCTGTTCATCCCAGGTACAATTCTCTACAGATTATCTCATCTAGTCCTCATAAGAATAGAATTGAAGTGGTCTCTACTGTTAATATCTGCACTTTATAGACAAGAAATGGAGGCACAGAGAGATTAAGTAACTTGCCAATAGTTGCATAGCTTGTAGGTTTCTGAACCTGGATAAGCACTAAGGCAGGCAGGCTCCAGAGCCCATAAGTGGCCGACTTAGCATGTGCCTTTGTTGCTCAGGAAACCACCAGGAAATATCATTTGAACCCCAAATGGTAGACAGCAGAACTGGTTGAAGTCACAGGGAGGCAGATTTTTAGCTCAGTATCGGGTTCGGAAGAACTTTGGAATGTTTGGAGTGGCCCCAAAAGGAATACTGCTGCTGGTAATGAGCCTCCTGTCACAAGAGGCATTTATGCAGAAAGATTTAGTGCAGAGATACTACTGCACTGGGTGGCGTAGATGAACTCAGAGGATTGCTCCAGCTCTGAGAATATGACTCGTGTTGGACAGGGGTTCAGGCCCTGGGCCCAGGCACCTTGCCTCTGCTGTGAAATGTGAGGGTGTAACTCATGATGAACTAACTACATTGCCAGACTGATGCCTGGACCCAGAGTTTGTTCCTTACTGTTAAGTGTTTATGATGTTTATTTTTTCTACACCTCTTCCTCCTTTTCTTCTGCTTCTCCTTCCTAGTGACTTACCTCCCCTGCTCCCGTCCCCATCCCACTCCCCGTCTTCTTGAATTATCTTTGCCTTTAAAAGAGTTAAGGGTTGGTATTTAGAAGTTCTTTGTTTAGTACACCGAGTCTTCCCTCCTAAGAACATTACTTACATTGGAGGATTTGTCCAGCCCCTGTTCTGATGTACCATTCCCTCTCCTTCAGGAGAGAACTGGGACTGGAAAAGATAACAAAAAGAGAGACCAGCCCTCTGGAACATTCATCTTGTGTCAATCTAGCCTTTGTTCTCTGGCAACAGCAAAACTCAATCACAGTAGGATAACTAGCCCCTTGTTCTTCGATTTGCAATGTGTTTTCAGAGGCATAACACAGAAGGATAGAAAAACAAGTCCCTTGCCCCCAACCTGAAAGCTTCTGTTTCCCTTTAGAGGACTGCTTTTAAAGTCTCCCCCTAAAACCCCAAAAGCGAGTTAAAGTATAACGCAGGTAACCCTGCCTTGAGCTATCACCAAGATGGCAGTGGGAAATGTGGCAGCATGGCAGCATGGTGATCTTGGTCTCTCTCACAGTGGGACAGTGCCTCCCCTTCCTCTGATCGAAATGCTGCAGGGAGTGTGGCCCTGTCTGGAGGTGAGGGTGTGGGCTACATGACCCTGGCGGGGGTGGTCCTTTCCCATTCTTGTATAATACAGCGGAAGGGACTCGAGGACTGTGTCAAAAAGGTGCAGCAGCATTTTTCTTGTCTTCAAGGGATAAAGGATTCTATCTGGTTGGCACACCTTCTTTTGTAAAATTCAGATATAAATACCCTAAAAACTGAGGCAAGAAAAGAAAATCTTTTAGATTCAACGTCTCTTTAAACGAATAGGTGCCATATTGTCTTCAGGGTTCTTTGTAGTCAGGGAATAATAATAGCTGACATTTACTGAGTGCTTAATATGAGCCAGACACTTTTCCAAACACTTCACATGTATTAGCACGTTTAGTCCCAACAACAGCCCTCTGAGGGAGGTACTATTATTATCACCTACACTTTTCACAGATGAGGAAGGTTAGGTGCAGGGAGGTTACATAAATCGCTACATGGCTAGCACACAGTCAGAGGGAGACTGTACCCACGGGACCCCCTCCAGAGTCCGGCCAGTAACCACTCTGCTGGGCTGTCTCAGCTCCAGAGAAGGTGTGTGTGCTTAGTGACAGTAGCTGACACCAAAAAATCATGTTACTGCACCAGGCCATTTAGGGGCTTTGCCTATACTAACCCCCTTGATTCTCCTAACAACCCTGTGATGTAGATACCATTACTATCCCTATTTCATGCATGATGAAACTGAGGCACAGAGAAGTTAAATAACTTGCTGAAGATCGCATAGCCAGTAAGAGTTGGAGTCAGGAGCCCATCGCAGATCTTGTACAGAGTCCTTGCTCCAAAACACTTTACTATGAAGTCTTAGCTCCAGCCATCTTCCAACTCTGTCGGTTTCCCTCATCTTGCCTTTGGGGCTCTGGCTGCTTCCTTGCTATTCCCCTGAGAGTCACTGTGCTTCCTTGGGAACGTGCTCCAGCAAATCCAGGCAGATTTCTGAATTATTATCTTGGGCCAGCTTGAATTTGTCTTCATTAGAGCCATGTCAGAAAGAGACTAGAAATTACCTGTACTGAGCAT